CGCATCCGAGAATGTATCAAGTCCACGGTCGGATGCCGGAAATCATAACAACTACTATTGCAGACGACTTTGGACTCGGTGCGTTCTACATAATCTACCTGAACACAAGACCAAGTTGCGACAACGAGGTCAACCCACTTCTAATATTGCATTTTGCTTAAATAAACTTGGAGGAGATCAGGAAGCAGCAAGATCAGTAAAAATAGGATGATTAGATCAAGAAGGTATTCTGTACAGAAAGACAAGGAATCGGAAGGAAGAGGTCCTCGAGAGACAATACAATATCAATAGGAGACGTCTGCAGTGTGCATAGCCAAACCAAGTAAACAGCTACAAGATACACGAAAGAGTACGACATAAGAAGTTCATATACTTGGCATTATTGATAGAAGTGCGGGGCGAACTAGATCAGAGCTCCACTCGAGGGATTCGACGCAGACCGGGAAGTTAGCCCATCATTCACGAGCTTGATCATTGAAGTAATCCGTTAATTAAAAACTGGATCACGAGAGTTACTCTGAAGTAGGCCAAACCGAGAAAAGGAAAATTAGTGTTAAGTTAGCCGTTCATCCAGCATGAGGTAGATCATGGGCAATAACGCCTCGAGGAGCATGTATATGGTGGCAGCAATCAAGTGAAATCACTGAATCTGAGATATAAGAAACAGATCTCACAAGGCAAGATGAAGGTTCGAATAGTACTTGGATGGGTGGGGATTAAGGGACCAGCTGAGAGTGTGAATAGGCCTCACCAAATCCACTCAAAAGGGCACATCTATGGAATAGGTGAAAATAAACCGGCTGGGAGTTGTGATAACGATGGGACCGATACGATGATATGGGATAAAAATGAAAAAGATACAATGGTCTGGCAGAAAGTTGGTCAGAGGATGGACATCATATGTCTCTTTGATGAGCTTTAGTATACTGCCAAGACTGGCAAGGCCCAATGACAATGTCTAAAAATGTGCCAAGTCCACGGTCCGAGGCTGGAAATTATTATGAGGTCTCTGACAAAAGACCCTGCACAAGATGCATTCATCTAAATCGTCCTGACAACACGACCAAGTTGTGAAAACGAGGTCAAACCACTTCTAAGCTGTCTATTTAATTTTTCCTTAAAGCAGTAGAAGTGGGTTGACCTCGTTGTCGCAACTTGGTCTTGTTGTCAGGGGGACTTAGTAGAATGCAACTAGTCCGAAGTTGTCTGCCATAGTAGTTGTCATGATTCCCAGCATCAGACAGTCGACTTGGTACATTCTCAAACGTTTCGCCAGCATCGTAGTCGGCGCCCATACCAGAGGCCACAACATCTTGGTCTTCATATCTTCCTAAAAGCAAGATTAAATTTCTCATCGCTGTCCAACGTTTACCGATGAGCATAATATTACCGGATTACTACTGGAAGCTCAAACAATACATCATCAAAGTGGGTTGACCTCGTTTTCGCAACTTGATCTTGTTGTCAGGGTAACTTAGTAAAAGGCACCTTGTCCGAAGTCCTCTGCCATAGCAGCCTGATGCTGGGAATTAGGATAACTACTATGGCAGAGGACTTCAGACAAGGTTCGTTCTACTAAGTCTGCCTGACAGCATGACCAAGTTGCGACAACGAGGTCAACCCACTTTTATAAATCGAAAGGAGACTGCGACTATACCTGGGGCCGCACCATCTTGGTCTTCATATTTTCGAATACATCATCGAGCTTATCTTCCCGTCGAAACAACAGAGGTGCAAGTCTTGCTTGAAGTATAAGCTCTAGAAGACCAGAAGCCCTCAGTTCCTGTAGGTCTTCTTGGGTAGCCATCCAGGCCGTCCACCGATCTTGAACCTGTCCTATCTGGACGGGATGACTCGTGATCCAGATAAAGCTACCCATGAAGGCTGCTAGATGTCAGTCAATGTATGAAGCTGCTAATAGTGCTTGCACTAAAACGGCTACCACCCTCAAAGACAAACGACGATCAGAGTCGGAAATGAATAGTGCAAGCCGTACGAACACAACTAAAGGATACGAAGAGAAAGTTGGTTTCGATGAATCTCCTGAGATAACATTGTTAAGGGCACCTTCATTTTGAATGAAAGTGCATGAAGAAGAGATTCGTTGGTCGATCCCACCGGATGAGGACGGATGAAACTCGTTGTACTGCAGCCGTTTGGCCTTTATACGATATTCATGTTGACGCAGTCCACGAGTATTCCTCCCTCGTTTCGGGTGAAAATGGGCTGAGTTTTCGTCCATCATATGACGGAAATCATCAGAGTTGGGTGTCATTCTTGTAAAAGTTTTACGTTAGCACTAAAGCAAGAACACTTTTCGGCTCTATCTTACTTCTTATATACACTCAATCGAGCCAAAAAATAAAAAATAAAAAAACCTAGATAGCTCGATATAGAGTGGTTTGGTTAATTTTCTTTCATAGTGGTCCTGTTATTTTTACTCGATTGTATGAGTATGCATATTTGTGCGTGTTAGCGTCTATATGCAATACGGTACCAAACAGAACCAGTATGAAAGAAAATTAACCAAACCACTCTATATTGATCTATCTAGGTTTTTAATTTTTAATTTTTTGGCTCGATTGAGTCTATATAAGAAGTAGGATAGAGCCGGATAGTGTTCTTGCTTTAGTGTTAACGTGAAACTTTTACAAGAATGGAACCCAGATCTGATGATTTCCATCATATGATGGAAAAAAATATCAGCACGATTCTACCCGAAACGAGGGAGGAAGTCTCGTGGACTGCGTCAACATGAATATCGTATAAAAGCCAAACGGCTGTAGTACAACGAGTTTTATCCGTCCTCATTCGGTGAGATCGACCAACGATTCTCTTCTTCATGCACTTTCATTCGAAATGAAGGTTCCCCTAACAACTAAAGGAGAAGTCATGGCTCTTTAGACTCACATTCAAACTCCGGGCCCACTCGTATTCAGGGAAGCATTATTTCAACTATATGAGAGGTATTCGTCCCATATTCGTTCGAGGTGATAAAAGACTGATAGTTAAATTTGTTTCCATTTAATTTTACATAGCATTGCCTTCCCCAAATGTGTTCTCATCCAAGATGGATTGCAGTTTCAATTCGCCTCAGTCTTATCAACAACCCCAGCGATATTCTAACCATGACAGTGAAACGTGTAATTTCGACATGTTCACCACTAAGTCACATTGCTACAGGTGCCCTTGAGTCACAGGAAAGATGTAATATTTGCTGTAATAATCGACTACATTACTTATTTTTTGTTCATAAGTAGGTTCTCGAGACTACCAGTAAATCAGTTATATGAGAGGTAAGCACCCTATTTCGTTTAAGGTAATGAACTAACATTGCTTCATCGACGATCCCACCGACGAATGTGATATGGGAAAAGGCCTGGCCTTCCTTAAAAGTAACATCTGCCCTGTGACCCAATGGCACTCGAGTGGTTAACGTGTCAGGCTCACATGCTGCACTGTCACGGTTTGACTCCCGCTGGGGGTGTTGATAAGACTTATGCGAAATCGAAACTGCAGTTCACTCCAGCGGGGATGATAACAACGTTTGGGAAAGCAAGGTTATGTGAAATTCATTGGAAACGTCAGCTCTACTCATATCATTGTGGGAAAATTCTACTACCAGTCGTTCGTCATCTTAAATAAAATAAGGTGAATACCTCTCATATAATTGATTTACTGATAGTCTCGAAACCCTACTTATGAACGATAAATTATCCTAGCCTTTGTGAATGGTTGTCTTCCATCGTATATACTGTCGGAAAGCTAGCCTCCAGCAGGTTTCGGCGACAACCTGCTCAAGGCGTAACTCTAGATCGCACATGTCAATGACAGAGGATATAATAAAAAGTATTTAGTAGACACTGGTGCCGAAACTAGCCTTATGCTTCTTCAAATAATGGCAGGAGGTAAGAAATACTAATTATCCTATCCGGTGGTAGCAAA